TGGAGCTTTTAGGGGTTTTTTTGTATTGCTGTCAGCAAAACAGTAAGGATACACATTTGGCTTCACATCCAGGTGTGCAAATGTTGGGACTGTGTTTTGCAGTACCTAAAGAGGATTTGGCTAGAAACTGTGTAAATAATCCAAGATTTCTGGCCTTAATACTCTGTGGATTTTTACTTTATTTTAACTTGAATATTTAATCCAGCAAGATTTCTTTGTCTTCTTTGAAAATTATATTTGGCTTTGAAAATCTCCTTCCCATTTTCTTCTTCAAAAGTTTTTGGTTCACTGAATTATAATAAATTCCACAGGATTGGGTAAAATCACTGAGCTGTTTCTGGGAGATTAACTTTCTTGCCAGTATAGATTTCAGAGAACATTTGCTAGCACATCTCTGAATTTCCAGATAATTGTTAATCGGCTTTATCACTTTTATCAGAATAATATTTGAAGGGAGTTCAGTGAATCAACTTCTGCTGATGCCCCTCGTTACTTTTTCTTCTCATTTAGTCAATCGATCAATCACTTTAGGCAGCTTTATCTTGCTGGCTATTTTAGCCTATGTATGGCTTTGTGGATATGCCTAAAGTAGTAGACTTTGGTTCAGATCTAAAGATTTCACTTAAAGTAAAATTCAGTAAAATTCGGGTGATGTAAGTTAACAACTATGATGCTGAAAACCATTGCTTTGCTGCTCTATGATTAATGACTAATGTATATGGAAAAGGTCTGGAACAGGTAAGTTGCTGGCAAGTAGGCAGGGTTCTTCTTTTCCATCCCCATTTTTTTTATGAGTAGTAAGTGGGACAGCTTCCACAGAAATGTTGTAGAGTGCTGTCTTCTACATATCAGCTTATAGCTAAGGGGTAGGACATTGCCCAGTGAGGGAGAAGAAGCAGGCTTGGATCCCCTCTGACAGAGCAAGGAAAGGAGCTTACTTTTCCTGTTTCCTGAACAAGTGTTCAAACCATTAGGCTATTGTATAAAAGGGAGCCTGACCCCATTTCCTGATATGTTTTAAAAGAAAACAGTGTCCCTCAAAGAAAGAACAGAAAAGTCTGCATTCAGGTGAGGGTTTCAGATGGCATGTCCCAAGGGAGAAGGGTATTCATGCAGCTGTGAATAAAGACGTACTGCAGTGCTCAGCAGTTCTTACAGTTGACTCCAGGCAGCATCACATTGTGTGTGCTACCTTTGAGGAGCTTCCTGCTCAGCGTGGCCCTGGTTCTGGAGCTGATTGTCACAGACCTACCTCCTCTTATGTTCAGCCATTAAAGAGATTCAGGCTCTTCTCCAAAAGTACTAAACAGTGATTTTATTTTTTCATCCAGCCCTCTCATTTGATTGTTTCATGGTTTTAGATACTAGACTGCCATTGAAGATAAGAAATTTCTGAAAAGCCATGGACTGATAAAAGCCATCCAAAATTTTCTTGATTGTGTTTCAGTGAGCCTGGGGAAAAAAGAAAAAGTGTTACCTTATCTAACTATCTTACACACTAATGAAAGATTGGCCGCAAATTTTTTCTTTTATGGTTCTAGACATCCAATATTATAAGAGATGCCCTATACCACTTGGCCTAATCCTTTGTCACATATGAATATGGGTAACAACTTTTCCAGGATTTTCACAGTAAGTGAGAGCACTTCTGAATGTCCAGCTACCAGGTTGCTCAGTGTCCTAGAAAGTGGCAGAAGTGTCCATGCACGCAGAGAGTGTAAAGCTCTTCCTTTTGTCTCCTTTACAAATCAGTGGTGAGCTCCATGTGCCTACACAAAGTTATGCATGATGTGTGGTTTTTAGTGGTCTGGATTTCAGTATATCAAATCTGGCAACTTTTCTGTTCTTATGTTAGAAGTGTGTGATTAGTATAAGGTCTGGCCAAACTAGGATTCAGCTGAATGAGAACCAGTGGTTTTATTAGTAGCTTCTGCTTTTTATCCTCCACTCTTATATTAGGAGTTTGTTTGAATATGAAGCGGTGAAGGTAAGACAAAAAAACTATAGGGAGTCTCTAGGGCTACAGATGTAATCATCATACCTTCTCATGTTAAAGATATTACTCTACATTTTGGGTGGTTTTGGCAAAGGAACTCTTACAAATATGATGAAAATCTAGTCTGGAGGCATTTACTTCTGTATTAGTAACAAATCAAACCTTAAAGTTCAACTTTGTCATCAAGTGGCCTTCCTACATGGTGACATGGATGCATAACTAGTTGACATGAGGAAATGAAAACATTTATG